CGAACAATTGTTGTGCGATTGTCGATTGTTTCGCAGCAAATTCAATTGTTTAAACTATAAATGGAGTGGTGGGCGCACCTCCATATCAGCTCATAGGAATAAATGCGCGACTAAACAGTTGTGCGACAGTTTAGTCAAAGGTGCGCGTTCTCTTATTCTTCAACTACTGCGCATTTCGTAAAGCCTGATTTAATGATCACTACACAACGACGTGATAAACTTATTTTGCGAATATCGACTTTATTCGCTTTGCTAAAAGCGTAGTAAATATAAGTTAAAACTTGTAAATCAAATCAAGCGGAGACTGCGTCGCAGAATACAGTCTGACGTACCTAGGTACCGGCGACGAGTGCCGAGCGTCGTGCCCACAAGTTCACGGTCAAAGTTAACAAAACAATTGTATACACATATAGTTATTTATTTAATCGAATCAATTAGACACTAGCTGTTACTCGCTACTTCGTCCACGAGAAATAAAAAGGGGAAAAACAGCCTATTTTACTTAGCAATGTAGCTCTTTAATGGCGAAAGAATTATTAAAATCAGCCCAGTAGGTTTTGAGTTATACAATACATACAGAAATACAACTCTTTCCTCTTTATAATATTAGTATACTCGTAGATATCATTACGCTTGAATTAATGCGACAACTACGACTCGGGTTTGATCAACTGATTACCACATATTTCGGGCGTCATTCGCGGATATTATTAATCTGAAGCTGTTGTTAGTTATGTGTTTGTTATTGTTATTTTATTTGTTATCATGTTTACAATCCGGTCTATAAAAATATATTACTTTCAACAAGAAAGTTACGTTAAAAGAACGGTAAATTGAAGGAGAATTGTAATCGAAATCTTGCGGCACAGATATTTTGATGGCTGGATGTTTGTTAGAGTTTGTAGACTAAACAGTTAGACAGATCTCGTTGAAATTTGGCATAGATGTAGAGCATAATCTGGAAGAACACATAAGCTACTTACTTACGTTCTGTTTTAATTACTCGCGGACGGAGTCGCAGTCGGACTTAGTTAAAAATAAAAACATACCAGATACTATTACGTAACACAAATTCTAGTTGGTATATTAGTAACCAAACCCACCGCACACGTCAGGAAGTGGTCAGTAAATGTTGATCAAACTATCTTAACTAGGTGGGATTAGATAACTACGCTCTCGACTTACTCCTGCCGTGCGGTGAATAAATAAACATATATCCTGCCTCGACCTTTACTATCATGGGACGAATCTAACAATGGTGAATCATTGGTATTGATAATTCATGCTAAGGATTAGTTAGTGGTAGTTTTTAACCCATTATAACCAGTATATAGAAGGTTTTTTGATGTGGTAGAGAAACTTATTTTAGGATAGACCTATCTATGTGCTAACAGTAGAAACCTACGGTTATAATCTGTTGATAACTGGTTATTCCGTTATGGTTCTCGACCTGTCAGGAAGTTGAAAACATTTCTGTCGTATCTAATATTTCAAATAAGAAAGTGTCTATAGTCTAGTGTAGAGAATGTAGAACATAACTAGTGGTGTAGAATATTAGCATGTCGACTTGAGGCCATACAAGGCGACGCAAAAACTTTGCGTATTTTTTGTAACTGTTTCATAACCGGGTCAGCGGTTTGTTTTGTTTTTATCAAGAATATCTCTCTATAAATAACTTATAGTAACTGACAGAACTCGTTTCCTATGTGTTTTTATCCAAGTTATTAAATTCCCGATTAACTGCATTGTTGGCTGCAAACCATAACCCGTGTATGTAAATTGTTGATCGCTCATAAACATATAATTATTCAATACAAAACGTAAATAAAACATAAAAAACATTAAAACACATAACAGTATTTACATTGATATTAAGAGTTTATTTGTATAGGTTTATTATTAACTGCAATTAGAATTCATTGAATTATTTAATAAAAGAAAAGTAATAAATAAAAAATTAAAATATAAACTCACACAAATTGACGAATCAATATCGCCGGAGTAGTCATTTTCACTTGTAATAAACCCAAACAAATAATAATTCGATATTTATTCTCACACCAAACTGAACATATTTATATTAATTTCGCTAACACCTAGGATGCGTGTTACTCTTAGGACGTGTAGTTTTATAATGCACGCCACAAAACAAGAACCGCCGTGACCGATATCGGTAGTGATGTGATTTCATGTTGTCGATACTTTACTTTTTTATCTGAATTACCCTTTCAGTTTAGAATAAAATGGGGGAAATTTAAATTAACCTATTTTACTCCTAACGTATTATTTAACCACAGTTGCATTTGACATTTTTCTGTATTGTACAGTAAAAAATTTGTACTTAACGTGCGCGTCATAAGGGTTTGTCTTTGTATACTAGCTGTTCCCGTGCGGCTTTATCCGCATGAAATTATGAAAATTGGTTTATTGATTACATTTGTCAAATTCAATTGCAAATGTTAAAATGACAGACATGACATGATGACAAAGCATGGCAATTTTGCTTCCTTGATGTTGGCAACTTGTGGCCTCTTTCCCACATTATGGTTTTTATCCAAAATATTTACCCCTAAATTTAATGGCGTGAAATTATGGCCTAAAGCGTGACGTAAGTGTAGGGATTATTATTAAAAAAAGAACTATTCAAAAATATGCTGTAATTGCTGACATGTTAGGCAACAAAGAAGTGTGTGTTTACGCTTTATTTTAATAGTATAGATATATATAGATTGAATCAATTGAACAATCATTAAATAAACACATTATCATTAAATAGATAAATTACGTCTTTTTATGTTTAAAAGCTTATTAAAAACAAAACATATTGTTAATAAATTTAATAAAAATTATATCACGTGATGGTGTTAGTATTGTATCCTTGGACATTGAAATTTTTTCCTTAAATATAAAGAAAACAATGTGCCGTAAATAAAAGTAAAATAAACGATTTACGTAAGACGTCATAAATTTTACCTAAACGATTGTTAGCAAGTTTTAATAAATACTGTTTTATGTTAAAGAAATTCTGATTTCGTTGTCGATACGTTTACGTATTGGTACACCACTAATTGTGAACTTTGGACCTCTGCTTTGTTTATAATCCTAGTTCAATAAATTGGCTTCAAGGTCTAAGTTTGTGATCTATTATTAGCGGACAGGTTTTATCGATTTGTTTATATATTTTTAGCAATTCTCTTTGTTTTGCATTATGATTGATAGGATTTGGTAAATGTAATTTATTTATGCTTTCATATATTTACTTCGTGACTTCGTGTAACATATTTTTACAATAAATTGTAATAATAGTTAGTTGTTTTTTAATAATATTCCTAGTTCATATTCCGTATTTGTGACACATGTCTGATGTGATTTAGCACGTAAAGCCTTCTATAACCGGTCTGACAGTGTGAAGTGAAGAGTCGAACTATTGACTTAAAACTGTCAGTTGGAACTGAGCGTAAATTATTGTACATATACTTTAAGTATTGTAGTATTAAAGGAACTGGACAGCTTCGGTTTCCTTATTTAATGTTTATAATTACACTTTCAGTCCATAACAAAATAAATACAACTGTATTTGTAAATATTTATATTGTATTGTTTGAGCTGTAAGTAAAAGATAACGGTTGGTAATTTGATATCAGCATTACTTCGACGTCACTAGTGATGACCATATGTCGATATCGACATTGCTTACATTAATATGAAGCAGTTAAAGTACGTTTTAGTTCAGTGTTGCCTTGCTGGATTTTCTTCTGGGATAGTGCAGGTCAGCTGGATTTAAAAGAAAGTACAAACTCCCATAAGATTGTATTTTCGTAGCATATATTTTTGGTTGTCTAAATATTGTTCCATCAATATTTTTCTTTAAGACATTAATAGGCTTTATGAAAATGATTCCTAATTTTTTACATAATTAATTCCTACAATAAATAAAAGTTAGTGCTCAGTTAATAAAACTTTTCCAACTTACATTTATCGCAAACACAATTTATTTATTTTGACTAATAATTCGTGAAGTATTCCGTGTATACGTGACTCGTGGTGTACGTGATTGTTGCAGCGTATATCACATTGTTTAATGACGAATTAGAGGTTATATTCATTTGGGGTCAAT